TGAGTGAGCAGACGAAATACGGCATTAAACTCCCGTCGTTAGTTATGCACTAAGTGAACAAGAATGCGTAAGGTTAAAAGAAGATATAACGGCTTGAGGCAGAGATGCATTTTTCCATTTTTTATTTCTCACCTTTACTTCCTTTTGTTGAATATACAACGATACAATTTTCAGGGAGGAAGAGGCCAATCAAAGGGGTGCCGTACAACACATAACGGGAAAAGTCAGGCAGTGGTGGTCGGATCCAAACACACGTCCTCCGAGGTGATAATTTAGTGACCTTTTCCATCCAACCGACACCACCCAATGCCCGAGTGAAGGCCGATATTGTCGATTCAATAATAATGAATTCAAAGATTCAAGTCAGAGTGTTGGACCTCACCTAGTAAGGTACGCGCGCCGATTAACCCCCTTATATGGACTGCACATTTACCACCTAGGGATAGCAATGGCAAACGAAGCGAAGTACACCAAAAAACTGACAGATGTCGTAAAAATGTCAGGCTAAGATAGCTGAATTTACGCAACCTTGCTGAAATAAAGAATGGCTCTAAAACTGTACATTTAGGTGGAAACCTTTGAAAAGCAATGTTTTCGTATCCTTTGTATAACTTTGTGTTCTGGCTCAAAATTATTGCACCTCACCATTATAGAAACGGTTCAACGACGAACTGAACGCATTTCTTACACGAACGACGAAAATGGCCTTATTACCAATAAGATATCTAAATGTGGCGATCCATCAATTTTGAAGTGTTACAGAATCCGAGAAATTGCGGCTCATCAATGTGGTGGTACACACTTACCAAATTATGAATCAGGTCTGGTATATCCTGATCCTCGGCTTTGTAAATGTCCAAATCGAACTCCAACGACTCCCCATCGTCTAAGCCAAGCTCCTGCAACATCTTTTTGTCGCGAAATCGGAGTCTCAAATTGAAATTGGGATTTAGCGATTCGGCATTATCCAAGGAACGAACAAAACGATCCAAAACTTCCGTTCGGTCTGTGGCATTGTCATAGTTTGGCTCCACTTCAACCGGGAGTGTTTTGGGCTAATGAAATTGAGTATAAGAGAAACAGTGCATGAATTACCTTATCTAGTGCAGGCTACCTTAAGAGGAGGAGCGGACTAGGTCCAATGGGAGAAACAGCAATGGAGACCGCAGGATGTAACAAGTCACGACAAATACAGTGAAAAGCTGACAGAATCAAAAATTATTACCAAGACAATGATGTACACCGAATTTCGGTGCCGCGAAATACATGTCGGGGAAGATAACAATCAAACTGCAGTGGGACTAATGCGAACACGGTAATCAGCGAGGACAACCGACGGGATTGCAATCATTATATTTAACCGGACAAGATTTAGGCCATAGTTGTCGCGATAAGTTGTTCAAATAACGTAATGCGAGGGAAAGAGAGGCAAACAGGTACTGTTTAAAAGTAAAAGAAAGAAAAAAAAACCACAAATTTCTGCTGCCTAGCGGGTCAGACTTTTGAGTCAAAGGCTCCAGTTAGGGTTCCCAAGGAAAAACCCCTTCGTCAGTGTGGACTACCGTGAAGAATGTCGTGCCCTAAAGTCTAAGACACCCATTTCGGAAAACCCTCCTCATCTGTTTAATTTTTCCTGTCAATCCCGAATAATCCCAAACGCCTGCTATTTACAAGACCCAGAGGATATCACTCAGCGTTTTACCAACAAGTCCAAACAATCAGAAGTTACAGGATTTTTGAAGCCGGAATTCCCTTTTCACTTAGCCGCCTTCAACGTCCGCATACTCTATCATATCGGTCAACAAGCTGCCTTCACTAAAAGCCTTGAAACTTTCAATTTAGATGTATGTTGTGTCTTCGAAACACGCATACAAGACCCCACTTCCATTATCTCTCTGTGTTCTTCTGATCCAACCTCAACCTCACGCTTTACTCATCGTGTGTCAGGCGATTCGGCGTTCCAAGCTCGCGGTGATGCATAAAGTGACAGCTAAACGCTCGCTTCTCGACTGGATTCCAGTCAGCAGCCGACTGTACGCCGTAGGTCTCAACGGTTCAGCGCGGGTCAACAGCTACAGAACGAAGCGTCGATGTCTATTCGTCGTGTCGGTGTATGCACCGACGGATTGCAGTACACCTGAAATCAAGGATGAATTCTACAAGGATCTTTCTCGATTACTCCAATGCGTTCGATCGATGGACATCGTGGTAATTGCCGGAGATTTCAATGCTCAAGTGGGATTCCTGGACGAATCAGAGAGGCTTCTTGGTGGACTATATGCACTCTCAGCCAACCGGACGGAAAACTGCGATCGCCTACCTCAACGCTGTGCCGACCACGGATTGTCCCTGTCAAGCACCAACTTCTCGCACAAGAAACGACACCGCCTTCAATGGAAACCGCCAACCTCTTCACCGAGGAATTAGTTTAATCAACATTTCTTCTAAACTGCTCGCTAGTATCATACTCCGTCGATTGTCTGCCGCACGTGAAGAGTGCACGTGTGAGAACCAGGCTGGTTTTAGACCTGGTCGAGGCTGTATCGACCACATCTTCACTCTTCGCTAAACTATGGACCACCAACATTCTTTTCGTAAACCCACCATTTCTGTTTTTCTCGATCTGAAAGCGGCCTTCAACCGCGGCCGCCTACTGGAGCAAGTGATCGATCTCCATAGATTACGTTGGTTGAGGCATGTGTTAGGCACGTCACCAAATAGGTTGCCACGGCGAGCGATGTTTGCCGAGGCTGTTAGTGGGTGAAAGCCAAGGGGGGTCAACCTTAGACCTGGCACGAGGGTATAAAAACCCTGACCAGGAGCCTGGGTCACATAGGTCCCGTTAGGCTCCCTGGATGGGGACCTTGGGATGATCGTAACCAACGGCTAGTGTTATGGCTGGGTGTCGTAAACAGTGGCGTTCGTGCATCTTCTCCATTCCTTTGCAACCTTAGATCACTGAAGTTCTCCATCTTCTGTTTGACTCCCATTTCAACTTTCGTCTCAGTTCTATCGTTCATTCACATGGGAGGCCAAAAGACAGCGACGAAAACCGGCGCACGAATGCGCATGGTTAATGGTTGTACAAAATGAAGTGAACTGAACTGACTTTTGTTGCCAACCTATGATCGACTATTAATACAGAAACCCAAGACTGAGTCATCGAAAATTCTTAGTTTTAATTGTCTTTTAAATGCACAATGGGAATATTCCAACAACGAGATAGATACCAACAATTTTTCATTAGGCGATTAGGCTAGCCTGTAACATTTTTGTAGCCCCTCTAAAAGACCCCCACTAACAGGAGTGGAAGCGTCAAAACCGCAATCGCCTCGCTGATTACGAAATTTCCTCACGACGTTCTTCGTTCATCCGTTCGACAAATCAATTCAGATTACACAACCAACCATTTTTTAAATCGCTCTTGTTGTCTACAAATGGCACTCGTTTTTGCCTAACTGAGCGGTTAAAAACTAATCCACTAACATGAGTCAAAGCATAGAAGTTGGTAGAGTTGGCAGCTCCTGGTAAGCAAACCACTTTAAGCCGTGGTATTATCCATCAGGTTACAGATCGTTCAATAAAAACTATACTGATGGGCATAAGCATAAACAGACGAACAAAGTTAAAGCACGTGCAACTTGGATTAAATTATTAAAGACAGTTACGCCAATACAAACACTGGATGGAGTACGAAGGGAAACAGTTACTTGAAAGGCTCGTAGTGCTTTTAGTTGAGCAAACGAATACATACTCTCGATGAACTCACTCGAAAGTGATCTGAATCCATGCGCGCCACTGCAAAAACCCCTGCTATCTTGTAAGTTATGTGGTTGCGCCAATGCTAAAAGTGCATCCTAGAACTAGGAGTAAGGACTCTGGAGACGTCGCGGGGAGCCGTTTCCAAGACAATCGCATAAACCTTTCATTAAGTTGGTTTATCCTCTCGCAAGAGATGTCCAAAGTAAAGCAAAGCAAAGTTTATTTACGGAATGAAAGGCGTCAGGTCTGTTGATGACATCCATCCGCAAAACTGGTGCATCTGGAGTGGTCAGCCTGCACACGCAGTCAGGGCTAGGCCACGGTATACAGTGCCGCAGAACAAGTCATTTTTGATGTCAAAATCGAGCGACCATTTCTACTCATAACAACTACTCGCACTGTTAAACGACACAACAGGTGAGAGTGAACGTGGCACAGTTCAACCTTGACCGCATGACATGGTATCAAGTCTGTTACTGGAAGTCAACATGTGGAAGAAAACAGGTGGCAGAAACGAGAACATGCAGTCCGTGTTGAGAAAAGTAAGTTTAATCGGGACAGGCAAGATTAAAGAGTCGACATGGCTGGTACGTCGAAGATAAGGAAGATGATCATTTATAACCGCACAGCGAACCTGAGGACTCGAGTCCCAATGAAAACTCGTCAAAGACAACAGATAATCGGTTGCTACTTTGTATGCATCATGGGGACATCGGTTCCCCGCTCATGCTACCTTGGTGATAATCATCGGAACAAGCTACGAACACGAGGACTATGGTAGATTACACAAATGGACAGCACAAATCACAACTAAAGTGACACGAATGCGTCAAACGACAGTTCTTACATCAAAATGGTATCATTTATAGCGTGGAATTCAAAATTTAGTTGAACAACAGATAGCAATGATACGAAAATGGTGACCACTAGACTAAATGTGCGACTTCGTGAAAAAAATGAATGAACTGCTATTCGAAAAGTTGTGAATACGAAAACTATAAACTCGATGGTTCCGCGCTCAGTAGTTCTTAGAAAAGGCAGAAAATCTTCTTTTTACTTTTGAAGGTAACACATATGACTGGAGAAAATCAATTTAAAAAAAACAGGTAAAACAGCAATAAAATCTGAGTCTAAGATGAAAATGTTGAGAAAAACCAGGTATATTCCACAGTTAAATAAGATCCTACTACGTCCCAATTTAACTTTACAAGATACACTAGCACTTAAGGCCGAAATTGTTCACTAGAAACAGTTCAAACTGCGCTTCTTGTGGTTGAACTAATGAGCGATTAGTTCACATGCTTTCAGTAATGTGGAGGCAGGGCTGACCTCCATTGAACACAAGAAAACTAATCCATAGAAGTAAGACTAGTCTCTAAAATGGACGCTGTGCGTGGAGGTGTTGAGGCCGCTGTGAATATTCTGGCTGCATGTGGGATGGATGATGGCGGAAGTAAGATTAGGTGAGATACTGGTTGCAAATCAGGGGTGCACGATCTGGATCGTGAAATCAATTGCCATTAGGCGCAGAAAATAAACACATCCGACAGCACCGCACAATCAGAGAGGATGACAGATTGACAAGGAAAAGAATGGTGTTTGTGTGATGAGCAGGATATTATTGCGAGGGTCTCATGATTCATTTTACCAACTACTACTGGATGACAACTGTTTCACCAGTATTTCGTACGATGAGAGAATAATGTTAGTTCAGTGTTTACAAACAGGAACCAGAGAAGCAGGTAGGTGCATTACTGCATTATGTAAACTTGGAAGAGATCTGCAGAATTTTCATTGTTGAACTCAGTTATGCAATAGTGTTGGTAACCATCCCAGTTACCTCGAGTAAAGCGATTAATCACGGAAAACGGCTCTCAGTGCACGGCCATTTATGACATGTAGGATGATCAATGGTGCTACTCAACAAATTTTGCAGTTGAAAGTAATCAAGAGTGAGATTAAGCAACTCTACCTCTCAAGGCATTGACATAGATTGAAACGAGACTTTATGCAATTAACTCACCTATGCGTTTCACCTGTCTGAACCTAACGTGAAAGATCCACCCGATTCTGGCGCATTTTCACATCACTCAAATGAGATAATCGAGTTTTTTTTTTTCTATTGAACTGGATTACAACTGTAGTAGCATGATTCAAAATGACAGCAATTATGCCGCGCACAGTAAACAGTGCATTGAATATGATCACGCATATGATATCGTGACTGAGATTGAGGAAACAGACAAATCTATCAATTGAGAGATGGACTGTCAATTATGCGACTATTAAAAAGGGATTTGTGTGCGGCATTGTAATTAAACGCAAGTGAAGAAAAAACAGATTAACCAGCGTGGAACGATAAAAAGGAAAACGTCCGGCGCATATCCGGAGGGGGTTGGACAAGTAATGAGGGCAGGCTGGTGCTGGAAAAAATAACGGTTTTGAGAACCGAAAGCGAAAAACGAGCGGGCAAACAAACAACCGGATGCGTGAATGAAGAAGAAACCAAAGCGAACAGGCAAAACATGAAGCAAATCGATCATACCCATGAATCGTCTCCTTCTTGATAGCGCTGATATGAGGAACAGGAGACAAATAGCATGAATGTGGAGATGACCAAACACAGTCGTACTCAATTAAGTAGAACGAAATGTGGAAGCAAACATATAAAGAGTATCGAAAATGAAAGTCGAAACAACCGATATATTCTGTTAAGAAATGACAGCAAGCAGTGAAGATATTTTACCATTTCATCGAAAAATAAACGTGGAGAGGGACGAGGAGAAACATCGAGGCGAAAATATTTACAATCGTATATGAAGAGACCGAGTTAGTCGAGCGCAATGTTTGATTTAGTCTGTGTGTATGTGTGACAGTATTGAGATCATCAAAAGGGACTTGATGGCATGCGAATGGGCATAACAACCCTAAACTTCAATGTTATTTCTGAAAGGACTGGATACCAAGGTAGCAGAACCAATAGGAAGAAAGCGGCTTTCAGGAAATGCACTATTTAGTAGAAGGAAGTCTGTTTGAATTGACCTGATTAGACATGAAAAACTTAGAAAAGTTTCGGCTGCATAAATGGATGTCCACTGGTTTTAAATACAATTTAATTGTGTTGTGCATGACTCAAAACACCACTGCGTCGATGAAGCAAAGAGAATTGAAGGGATGAAGATTTTGAGGCGCTTCACTTGTTAAGTAAGCCTATAGAGTGGAGTAACAGCTGGAGTTAACAACTTCCATAACCGAGTTATTCTAATTCGTAGAAGTAACGTTGTTTCAGAAGCTGGTGTAACTTGGACATGCTATCGACTAAGTTCCGTATTTTGACCACGAATAGTAGATTCACTTTTTTATTGGTACCATTGAATTCCTCAAAGAAGAACGGTAGAAGCCACTGACATGACGATGGTAAGTACATTCGCACAAAACCTGACATGTCAGCACTGAAATTTTGTACCCAAGCTGATAGACGTCCCACGCGTGTGAAAAGTGAATTCCCACCTGATGAATTCAGTGAAGAGATCGCATTATTGAAAACAATGAGAGGACTATTAAATAGAAGTGATGGTTGGAGTTCTCATGTAAATTTCCCTTCATTACTGAAGAGGTTTACGCTTGGGTTTAGTAGTAGAGCTTCAACGGAACCTATGCCTATGCATGGTTTAAGGTGGATGTCTTGGGTTGTGACTATTCCTTTCGTTCGCACATTGTGAAATCCTAAACAACCAGGCGTCTCAAATTGCTTCTGGTGAGAAATCTTCACTCATTGTCGTCAAGCGGCATACAAATTAAACCCGTAGTTTCCTGAACCTGGCAGTGGTCATCGGCTCGATGGACATCGAGGTGCATTGAGCACGATGGACATTTGACCTTGAAGAAGGGTGATTTGATTAACTGGACACCGGCTCCCCGATGGATTGCTGTTTTCATACGTCGGACTGCTTCGCGATTCAGGCTTTGATTAGCCGAAAGTTGCAGTTGCGAACTAACCAAGCAAATGTATCCTCTTTAACCTGGGCAACCTGGTAATACTGGAACCAAGAGCAAACCATTGACTGAACTCTTTGTTATAAAGATTGTTGTGCCGTGAGTTAGTTGGTAAAGTCTGGATTCAAACAAGTGTGAAATATAATATGTGCATGTGTTCCAGGGTATTGCTGTACGTTCTCGTTCTACGATCTAAGCTAACCACGGGATTCTACAGTCATTTTCATTGACAGTCCATATTCTGATATCTTTGTTAAAGTATCTTACACTTACCAAGGCTAGAATACACTCTGAGTAGTTTGTGACATTGAGAGCATAAACGCAGACTGTCGAGGCAGATGTTTTAACAAAATCTGCCGGACCAACAGTGACGAACATTTTCATATGGTTTGGTTTTTCCATAAATTCGAGCACATGTTAGTAAAGCTGGCAGTGGAAATCTAACAAGTCCGGCCTTCCGGGACACCCGGTCGCTTAGAAGTGCGAAGAGGAACATGAAT